ACACACACACACACACACACACACACATACATACACACACACACACACACACACACATACATACACACACACACAAACACACACACACACATACTGACTGTACTGTATTGCAAGTACAGTAAAACTCTTACTCTTACTCGAACTGAACTAAAGTATTCAGATTGAATTGATGTACTTCTCTTTACTGAAACAATAAATAACTGACATTATGTCTTTGTGCTTTTCTTGACTCAAACAATAAGTATATGACATTATTTCTTTTTGCTTCTCTTTACTGAGACAATAAATAACTGACATTATGTCTTTGTGCTCCTCTTTATTGAAACAAGAAATACGAGTAAGTGACAGTATGTCTTTGTGCTTCTCTTTACGGAAACGATAAGTAACTGACATGTTGTTGTTGTTATCAAACCAGCAACAACTGGGGTCTCGCCCTTCTGTCCAATGCCATGTAGTGATAAGCGCAGGTTTGCTGCAGTTGCTGTAATGTTCCGTAGAGTGTATTGTCAATGTTAAGTCGCGGAGGGAGAAGTGTAGTTCTGATGTCATTTAGGGCTGTACAGTGGAAAAGTAACTGACATTATTCCTTTGTGCTTCTCCTCACTCAAAACTAGACGAGCTCAGGTCCAGACAGCCGTCCCAAGGCTCACCGTTGCCAACTCCCAGGATGAAGGTCAGGAGACGGAATGGCGCGGCCAACTGCCCGAAGTGCCGGTGCTGAGTGAGGACGGCTTCCCCAGCAGTGACATGGCTGCCCTGCCCTCAGCAGTGGGTTAGTGAACAGCACATGTGGCGTCGTGATGTTTACGAAATAAGTCAGTGTCTACCTTATGTATTTCGCTTGACCAGCTTTAAACCAAAATTTCCTATTTCGCTTTGAATTTTGTCAAAATTTAGCTCCTCCGCTTTCCAATTTCGGGTATTTGGTTGAAACTTGTGGACAATTACTTTTTTGTTTTAATAAGATAGTACTTTTTTTGTTAAACCAGTTGAGTATGTCTTGCCTAGTTGAACTGTTTTTGTCACAACGTGGTGGAATCAGGCGCTCGTCGAATTTTGAGCGTATGGAGATTTTAGTATTTTCTTAAAGCCTGTTCATTAGTCTTCCTTTTGGTAAAAAAATGTGCGTTTATCTTGAATAAAAGTCGAGATATTTGCGATTGAAGGAATTGGGGTCGCCTGGTTTCAGAAGTAAAATTAGCGAAAAAATAGGTGCCAAAGTTTGGTGACTTCCATAGCTTAAGAGTCCTTGGAAACTGCAAAGTCATATTTTTTGCGGCTTTAATCGTTTTTCCTTAAAATCCACACGCAAAAGTGTTCTTGAATGGACATACAAAGTGTTGAGCCAAAAATCAAAAATTTGAAAATAATTTCCAAACTGTCCGAAAAATGCTGATTTTATGGATTTCATTATTTTGACCTAAGCCTGATTTCACCACGCTGCCTCACATTTTTCATTTTTATTTCTCTCTTTTGGGCGATTCTTTGAAAAAAACAACAACATTTCTTCTCCGTCAAACAATTTTTAAAAAATCTTTGAAAGCTGTAAGATTATTTAAGAGCCGAGGCCTCTGAATTTAACACCCATCTCCGATAGGTATGAACCAAATGGGAAAGTTCTTGTAAAGTGCCTTTCCCACGGACACAAGCTGAGCCTCACAATCTCATGATTACAGGTTCGGTAGTCTAACTAACTCTTTAAGAATAAAATAAGAAGGATTTTGTGAATGTTATTTTCAGAGAACGAAGTCACAGCTCTGGCTTGCCGCAGCCTCAGTCTGACTCAAGCCCTGGGAGAAAAATGTTTGAACCTCAACCTGTCGGAGTCTAGCGATGAAGAAGGGGAAGAGAATCGACGTGCTTCACACTACACACCACGGGCAGCACAGGCCACAGAGGAGGACAGTGGGAACAGACGCCACAGTTTGCCCTCCGCGACGGGCTTGCCCTCACTCACAAGGAACAGGGACGTAGACCGGGCGGGTAGGTGGATACACCACGAAGATTTAAAAAGATTTTGAATACAGTCGAACCTGCTCTAGCAGCAACCTGTCCAAGACATTCACCTGTTCAAATAATCACATCCCGCCCCTGCTCTTGCGTTATTTCTATGTATTAATGACACTGGTCTCCAAGACCAATACTTTCCTCCCCGACAATGTGTCGCTTCAAAACTATTTTGTCCGAAGTGCCTTTTTACTGAAGTACACTTTGGACTAAACAGTTCTGAGGCGTGGAATGGATGACCATCTTTAAAAATTTCAACTGACTTTGCTTACTGTTTTGGGCCTCTCCATCGTGTCAAGGGGAGAAATAAATGTCTTTCTCTTGTTCGTTGTATTGTCGCTCATCCTCTCTTGGTCACTTTCTCTGCTCTCTCTTCCTGTTCCTCTCCATTTTTGTCTTGCATACACTCTCTATCCACCCCATTCCGCCCCAACTCAACCTGCCCTCTCAGTTCAAGTGAACAACACATTGTAATTCTTGTCAGTTTGATAGTGTTTGAGCGCGTGAAATCCGCAGCTTGCACTGTGTGTTCCCGCGGAAGCCGAGCATGTTTCTCAGTGTTCTCAGAGGGTCTGCTGGGGTAATAATAGTTGTAAAGCGCATAGAGCATGCTCTTGAGCATGGATATGGGCTATATAAATGCAATTATTGTTATTGTTATTAATTCTTATCGTCTTGGTGGTCGAAGGGTGTCTCTGGTAGGTCTATTTTCTTTACTGTCCCTTCCTTGTTTCTGTCTTTATTACTTGCTTTTTGCTTGCATCAAATTACCTTAATCGCATTGATGCACCTTACTTGCACTGAATGACTGTTACTGTGTTTCTCTTTACTCTCGCTAAACTCATCCTTATCATGGGTGGTTGGAGGGTGCTCTGGTGTGGTTTGCCCCTTCTTTCCTATCAAACATCTATCGTCTTTATCTCCCCCCTGCCCCCTCCTCTATTTTTGTTTTTGTTACTCTCTTGTAACACCTCCAATCTTCGGCACTTATATTACCTCATTGTGTTGCAAGTGCCGTTAAACTCTTCCTAAAACTAAAACTAAACTCTTTCTTATCTCAGCCCACAGACAGCGAGCAGTCAAAGAGCTGGCTGACTCAGAACGTGACTACTGCTCTCGGCTGTGGTCACTCCTCAACACCTACCTGACCCCTCTGCAGACGGCTGGCTTCCTCAGCGCCCAGGAGCTGGATGTGCTGTTCCCTCCCTACCTTGACCAGCTCTACGCCCAGCACTGCCACATCTGTACAGGGCTGCAGGACAGACTGGTGCACTGGACACACATGGGCGTGGTCGCTGACCTCTTGTCACGGGTCACAGAGTCGCATTCTGAGGTCAGTTGTTTGCTGCTGCACTTGAATTCAGAAACTTAAATCTTTCTGTCTTTTTCTTCAAATATTTGATGGTATGTAAGAGCTATATTTGTGTGGGATGGGGGTGTTTCATTTTATTTTCTACCTGCTGGAAAAACATATTTACATGGACTCCCCAGATAGAGGGTAAGTTACCAAACTAATAATACAGCAGAAAAAAATACCAGGTATAATTTTATAGAGTGTATTTTATTTTCCATTCTTAGTGAAAAGAAAAAGACAGGTTGCAGTATCCCTTAAATTGTCAAAAACATCACATTTGCAGGTGAAACGATTGTTAACAATTGCTTCCTTGTAACATGTGCTCAGTATACTGTTGCTAGTAATTTGTTCACAGCCATTATAATTTAGGACTGTCTCAAAATTAATCTCAGACACATACCAGGTATTTTAGCAAGTTGTATTTGGACTGACAATGAATGTGATGTTATAAGATTGATAGATTAGACAGTTGAATTTTTGGCAGAAATTGACCAGGTCACAGAAAAAAAGAAATCATGTAAAAATTTCTGCCAGGTTCGCGATAGCTGGATGATTGTAAAGCCATTTTACTTACTTTTCTGAGCATAAAAATGAGTAAAAAGATGTTTGTACAGTGGAAGTAACCCGTCTGAATCTGTCTTCTTCTCAGGATTCCGTGATGAACTTGTACAGAGAATATGTGGAGGATTTGCCAACAGCTGTCACTTGCTTGAGACGAGCTCTGTCACAGTCACCAAACTTCAAGTCTTTCCTCAAGGTTATTTCTCTTTCTCTTAAGTTCTTTCCCTCTTTATCTCCAAACTGTCCTGCTTGCATTAGTATTGTCTCCTATTATGCAAACTGTCTATTGTATAACATCTGTTCTGTCTATGCTTTCTTAATTTGTTCTTGTGACTGTGATATTGTGTTGATGGACCATAAACTACAACTGAACATTTGCAGAACTGTGCTCATATGATAAATTGGGGTCCATGCTTTAATGTTGTATTTGTCCAGTGACATTTAAGTGGTTTAGTATTTTTGAAATTCTCAATTTTGATCATTCCTTTAGGATGTTCAAAATGAACTTGATTTCCTTACTGATATTTCAGTAGTCTTTGTTTTTCTCTTCATTTATCTCTGTAAGTTGCTTATGTTTCTTGTGTCTGAATGTTTCTTGCGGGTGGTTGGAAGGGACATTTGGTAGGTTGTGCTTCTTTCTATTCCTTCATATTATTCTGTTTGTCAGTTTTTCTTTTCTCAGCACTATTGTGTGAGTTATTATATCGAAGTACTTCTCTTCACTCAAAAGGAGAAAAAATGGAATTCTTATTCTTGGTTCAGATATATAAGGTGTTGCTGTCTTTTAGAAAATCTGTTGTTTAAAAATGTGTACTGCTTAGCATTCCACTTTAAGGAACATTTAAATGGTGATCACTTTTTTACATGCTGCACTATGAATGAAAAGGTTCTCAAGTTTTCAATGACTGAATGATAATAACATCTATATTCTTTTTATAATGTGTATTTGTATGCTTGTCAGGCCATCAAACAGAGCAGCTGTGAGCGTGAGGATCTGTTCTCCCTCCTCCTGGCCCCGGTGCAGCACCTGCCTAAATACTTGCTGCAGCTTCAAGTGAGTTCATCAGTGTGACACATCACAGTATTGACACTATAGCAACGTTATAAAATATAGTTTACCCTCAGTGTGATAGAGATATGACGCGAGTAATCAGCTCTGAGAGCAAGATCAGCTATGTTTAGAAGGGTACCGTGAGATAATTCAGGTTAAACCTGACAGGAAAAACGACAGAAGTGCCATTTGGAAGTTTGGAAATAGCTTTCAGTAAGCTCCCTTTTCTGTATCCTCCCAAAAACTGATCAGCAGAATGTATTCTCTGGCATAATGTAAAGGTGTCATACAGTTGGCTTAGTGAACTAGTCACAAATCACTCACAGCTAAACCACATACATATGATGGATTGGACAGAGGTTTTGTTTGTTTGTATTGGTCTTGATGGTTAGAATCTGAAATCTCATGCAGAGTAATTCTCATTACAGGCAGGAATCTGGGGATCAAGGTTTTAAAATGATAACATCAAAATGTGTACCAATTTATCCTATCTTACTTTTAATGCTAACCTCCACAGTACAAGTAATGATTTAAAAGAATAAGATGTTAACATCCACAGTACGGGTAAGCCCAAATGATTTTAGAGAATAATCAGATCACAAAAGCTCTTTGCCTATGGTAACTTTAATTACTGTTCTTTTTTTTCTCCAGCAAATCGCGCGCCCAACCCCGCCTACCCACCCTGACTACCCGCTGCTGCAGACAACGCTGAGACAACTGCAGAGTTTTGTGGAACGTCTCAACGTGGACCTGTCGGCCGCCATGCAGGACCTGGCACGGGACAGTCATGTGGGGTCAGCCTCTTCTGTCCTCTGTGACCTGTGACCACTTAGCAATATTTTTAGTTGACTGTTTGAATGGATTGGTGTAAATGATGCATGCCAAGAGTCACATAATTATTTCTTTAACACAATTTATCCCAAGAAAATCTGTGTTAGATTAAAGTCAGTGTTGCTTTCAATTTGCAGAGGTGATGGTGATTTATTTTGAGTATTTTATATCCACACTTGTTCAATTTTTGCTTTTATTGTATTAAGTTTAACACTTTGCAGTCACATCACCAGCAGTACAAAATACCTCATCTGGTCACCCAGCCAGGAGAGTATCTACAATGGACCTCTGGGGCCTGGCGCACCCAGAACTGCGCCAGGTGACCGGAACGTATAATTTTCACCATCGCGTTATTGCGCCATGTGACCGCAAAGTGTCAGGAGTTAAAAACTTAAGATTTTGTCTGTGCTAATATGTTTACAAAGTTCTTTTGGAAAGGAATTACAAATTAGGCCTACATTAAAAAAAATTTTTTTCTGAGAAGCCTATGTTATCACTGCCATTGCTGTCTACTGTTTGTTTGAGTATAGTTACATGGTCAGTTTTGGACAACACTGGCACATAAAAACAACTCTTTGCGGAGCTAATAATAGTATATTGAAGTTCCTATGGAGAACGAAAGGTTGTCTTGTCCTTTCTTTCTCTTGGGAACCTCTTTATATGGTATTAAAGGGTAACAGTGCTATGTGTAAGAAAAGTATCCATGTCATAATTTCACTTGGTAATTGATGGCAACACTGATCTTTCACCATTCTGCCTCATAATATAGCATTGTGTCAGTGTCACCTTATCTCTCAGACTGTGGGTTCTTTCCCGTAGGTCCAGTGCTGACACGAGCCAGACAGTCAGTGCCCGCGACAGCGGAATCAACTCCACGGAAGAGGACATGACCTCAGCACGTGCCTTTGCTAAATCAGATCATGGGTAGGACATGTTGTTGTGCTATTATTGGACCAGAGATTGTGGATGGATGGCGGATGCTCTGGTGTGGTTTACTCCTATTTTCCTATCAAACGACTTTCATCCTTATCTCCCCTTCTTCTTTTCTTTGTGTGTTACTCTCTAGTAACCCTTCTAATCTTTGGCTGGTATATGACCTATTTGTGTTGCAAGTGCTGTAAAACTTGTATTAAAACTAAACAGTTGCAAAAAAAAAAAGGCAAAACGAACCCCCCCTCCCCCCCCCCCCCCCCCAAACAAAAAAAAGGACCCAGAGATGTATGAGCAACTAGTGGACAAGAGGTATAGTAGTAGTCATCGGACAAAAGATGTAGAAATGGGTGTTGGAATAGAAATGGTTGCACTATTCGTCGATTGGTCTAATGTGATAAAGTGATAGCTGCAGGTTCTGTCTCTGTTGACTTGCATTTTATTAAATTTTCATGAGAATTATTTATGATTATGTTTCGTCAGTTGAACTGATTTCAAGTACAAATGGATTTGCCATTTTGGAATGTAAAATTGTGTGTTAAAGAAACCATAATTGTGTTACAGTCCCCTCTCTTCTATTGAAATAAGATAAAAGTTAAACTCTATTTTTAGTCTTTAGAGTTAGTGCAAATGATTTGCTCCTACTCTGATGGAGTTTCTATCTATTTTCAGTGATGTGAGTTTCATTTTATTGAAGCCAGTTAAACTCTTTGCCAGCAAATTGCCATTTTATCAACTGTGTCTGTTTTATGTATTAAGACCTTGCATTTGCCCATTCATAGCTTTCTTTCTCAATCTTATTTCCATTAATTTTTATTAACTCACATGATTACAATTTGTTGATACAATGATTTTGTAGAATAAGAACTTATTTGGACTATCTTCAATCAGCAGAGTACTGCCAGAGTGGCTTGAAGACCCTTACTACGACCCAAAGCAACAGCAGCATCACAACATAGGCCCCGCCTTCCGCCGACAGTTGCCCCGCCCCTCAGTCCCTTCCCGGATGGGTGCATTGAGTCAGCCGGACTTGACTGCTTACAGCAGCTACCCAGACCCCCGGATGTTCTCCCATGTCCCACGCAGCCAGTCCGTAATGCCCACAGGCCTAGAGGGCTCGGGGGAGATTATTGGACCTCGTGCTAGAAAGTTCAAGGCAAGGAGAATCTTTTAACTGAACTGTTTGACTGGTTTACTTGTCAGGACACCCATCTTCTTCATAACATAGTCGGGCGGCTTAGTCCAGAGACTGGGTTATCCTTCTAACCTAAACTGCTGTCCTGTCTACTAAAATGAAAGTCAATGTTTTGGTGTTTTTTAGTTTTACAAGAAAACTTTGTCTATTATCAAACGTATAGACAGAAAACGTTGGCATTGTATCAGCCTATTTGTTAAATTATATTGCTTTGTACGAGCTGATGTGATTGGTTACATGAATAAGGGAAAAATGAGGCAAGTGAGTTTCAAATTTGTCCAGTAACAAGCTTTTAAGACTGTAAAGTCCTGTGCTTTGTCTTTATGTTGAGAGCTTGATGCAAATTTATATTGAGGAAACAGTATGGACAAGATCATTTGCCATTCCTATTGTTTTCCTGAAGAGGAACTTAACTTTGTTTGTTTTCCCCTAAATGCATGTTTCTCTGCATTAAAGGATCATCGCTTCCCTTTCGTCTAAAAATTTAAAGTCAAAGAAGTTCGCATTCAAGTCTGTTTCCAGTCAGATGTAGTGATTTTTCTTTGTTATAAAACTGGAAATTATCTAAAACGATGGTTCAACCATGACTTTAACGAATTGTTATTACAACTCAATTAAAGCTTTAGCTCAAGTAACACTATAACTTAACTATAACAACAATTCAACTAAAACAATGATTCAACTATGACTGTAACTGACTGTAACTATCTCTCAGCTAAAATTATAACTCAACCCAACATCTGCCTTCAGGTGAGGAAGCGTCAGCCATCTCCCTCCTACAACCCCCCAGCCCCCAGTGGCCATGAAATCTTCATGCGTACAGCCTCTCCGCGCAGCCGCCCGTCCTCAGCTATTGACTTTCTCAGCCACTCAAATACCTACCACTCTCCACACTACAACGACTCTCCGGCTCGGGCCCACGGCTACCCTGGCCCACAGCCCCGGCCTCACTCAGCATTGGGGCCATATGTTCTAGACTCCCAGCACAGGCCCACCATCATCAGCCGGAAACATCTCCGCAGGTCACAGCCTCCCATGTAAGCCTAGCATTATAACTCATCTGTGTGGGAAAAAAAGTAACTTAATGAAATTTCTCTTTTACTGATCTCCATGGTGAAATTTTGTTTGTAATGGTAAACATTCCTCCCCACCCAACAATCTACCTAGCTACCAATCTACCAACCTACCTAGCTATGTAATTACCTACCTACCTATCTATCCATCTACTGAATGACAAACAGAGAGACTGGTAGACAGGCCAACCAATGCAGACAATCTTTATGCCATTGCTGAGTAAGTTAACCAGGAATGAATACATGACACATACTTTCATGTAAACAGTACTTTTATTATTTTATTTCAAACATGATCATTTACTTCCTTTCTAACGAGAATTTCATCTCTTCTTTTCAACAGGCCCACGTCAAACGACTTTATGCTTAGCTCTCACGGCCTGCCAGCGTCCATGCCTAGTCACTCTCCTCACATGCGAGGCCCACCCCTGTCCGCCCATGACCTACTCCCATCCCGCCCCTCCCCCTACCCTACTGCAACCATGTTGGATGTGGAGGATGACGAGGACGACACGCGTGCCAGCGACAGTCACTCTCTGGCCACGACTGGCTCACACCATCACAGCAGCAGTCACGGTTCCAACGATGGGCATGAGCTTGACCTTGACCTCATTCAACATCGCTTAGAGCAGCAAGGCGGAAGGTCTGGCAGGCACCAGCCCGTGCGGAGGGAATTTAGCTCTGAGGAGGTCACTCAAAGTCTAGCCGAGAAACTGTGGTCAGATGCGAATCTATCGGCTGGGAGAGATATGGAAGATGAGGAGGAAGAGGAAGTTGAAAGTGTGCTGAGGGGTGGTTGCGAACCTTCAGATCACATGACCAGCATAGCCAGTTACGTAGAGAAATCAACTACTGCTCTGAAGCAAATGGCTGGTGAGCAGCGTAATGGGATCAGTGCAAATGCAAGCATGCGTGGGCAGAGAGAGCAGCAAGGTAAGGACAGAAAGGGGACTTTGTCTACTCTTGTGTGTACTGTGAATCAGTCTAAGATTGACAGCGAGCTGTATGAATTGTCCCACAGTCTAGATGAAAGAGACCTATCCTCAAGCTCAGAGCACAACGGCAAGCCTCTAACTTCCTCAAGGGGTCCTCCAGATGTACTTGCATCCACTAATGGGCAGGAATCATCACCGAATGGAAAGTACTTCTCTGAGAGTGACAGAAATGGTGGAGGAGGTGTAGCTGTGGGTAGTGATCCCTCGCTGAATGGACAGAGTTTAGAGCACCACAAGAGAAATGGCGTAGAAGCAGCTCATAAAGAAAAACAGAGAGCTCATGGAGGTGACTTGCACAGTGTGTCTAAAAGTAACCAACAGTTTTTGCTGTCACTTACACAGAAGAGTATTGCCAGTGGTGTTGGTGCTAGTAATGGTGTTTCAGAGGCTCATCTTGTACAGAAAGATTATAACAGAGCTCCTGTGTCTGAGAAACTCAATTCCTCCCCTCGAAGTGCTGGCTCTCACACAGGCTTGGACAGAGAAGTAGCTCGTAACGGGATTGATGATGAGGACTCCAGTCTCAACGATGCTCCTTCAGACAGCCAGGGCCACTCTCTACCTTCGGCGTTACTCCGCGGAAACAAATATTCCCCTCGGCAGACAGCAGTGACCTCGACCTCTACTGCAGGACGCAGCCCACGGTTGTCTCAGCCACTCCCACCACCTTCTTTCAACTCACCACTGTTGGATCCGAACGAGAGCCTCACTGTGTCAGAAGGCACTTCGAAATCATCTACCTTATCGACGTCATCTTTGTCACAGAGAGGAAATAGCCCTGTGTCTGGAGCTCAGCGGCCGTATTCCTCTCTGTACCCTACCTCGTCTTCCTCATCTTCCTCCAATAAGTGTGAGGGACCGTCTTCTTCCTCATCCTCCTCTCACAAATCAGAGCAAATGTCGAGAGACCAAACAAAAATCTCCACTGCCTCAGTGGAGTTACAGCTCCACAATAACTCCACCCACACCCAGCTCTTCTCCACCTCTCTCAGCAGCATCAGCAGCAAGAACACCACGGGGCCTCCTCTAGAGACGGCTATTGACTCCAGCCCTCGCAGCTACAATGGCGAGACTGATGACCCAGACCATCTTGACTTACCTCCCCTTGAGGTCACTGACCTGTCTCAGTCCACTGAGGTGGAGAGGGGGAAAAAGAGAGACGGGAGAAAAAAAGGCAAAGATGTAGGCAAGTATGGATCAGACAGTGGCCCTCCTAAGGCAGCGGAGGACCCTGTGAGTGCCAGGAAGAAAATGCATCTGAAGGCTTCCATCAAGAATCTTTTCACCAAAAAGAGGTGAGTGACTGCTTTTACCTCTGACACTATTGAGACTCTGAATGGCTCATAAGACGCGCTGGAATGCCTTGTGTCTGGAATGTCCCTAACCAAATCTTTCCTAACGTTTCCAATATGCAATTCCCTAAGCCCAGTGCAGACTCTCATACAAACCTTTCTGATTTCAACTAAAAAGAAGCTCAACAAATGTGTCCACCCTTGCAGAAATGTCTGGTCTTGTTTGCTTCTTTTTTTGTGGATGTGTCTTCTGTAGGTTTTAGTGTCCATGTTTTTTAAGAATGTGTGTGATTAACAAAACCTCTAGTACTCGAGGATCTTTTTTGTGTCCTGCTTGTAGTAGAAAATTGCATTGTGTGACTTCCAGTGCATTGTGGGTAATGTTTTTTTAGATAGATTTTGTGTCCAAAATATTCAATTTGTGAATGTGTTTAGCATTTGATTTTCCTATGATAATGACTTATATTTCAAATATATCTATATCATGCACAATTCTTCACTTGGTTGAAATACCAGGCATGTTCTTTCACTTTTGTAGCTCTTCTAAGAACAGGTTGTATTCTATGAAAGGTGCTGTATTTTTTATGTAAATTACAATGATAAATATTATTTTTTATGTCTCTGCTTTTCGGAAGGACAATGTGATTCCACAACATTCAGGTACCGACCTTTTTTGCCTAATTACCAATTTAATTTGTTTCCTTGTGCATGGCAGCATTAAAATTTCAGGGTTTGAAAAAAGTTCTGTATCAGTGGAGAAGCTGGAAATTAGAAGTTTTAATTTATTTTTCTAACCAACGGATTTACTCTTGTCGGTTTGAGAGTGTTATCTTGCAGAGAATGTTATTTAATAAGTCTTCGGCTTTTTAGATTTGACGCTGTATTTGGAAGGAAAGTTTCTAAGAGGTCTTTTGTCCAACTCAAATTACACTCTATATCGTGGGAATAGGGTTGGGGGGGGGGGGGTGTTTGAAGACTTAAGTTTTCACTCAGGTGGTACTGATGGTACTAAAGTGAAGGAGATCAGTTCTAGGATGCTCAAACTTAATTCCCACACTTGAAGTCACATTTGAAAATAACCTTATGACGAGTTTGTTTACGTATGCAGAATATTTGCTGCATAAACAAACAGCAATTCTTCTATCTTACTGAAAATATGAATATATGAATATTGAGTTTGTATTCTCCCTCGTGATTTATGATTTCCTTGCTTATTATAATGAAGTATAAACTATAATTGTTATGACCTAATTGTGTTGTGGCATTGTCCACCTTTCATCGAACATGCCCTAAATTAGTCAAAATAGAGTACTATAATACTATTGTGCTCATTATGTCATTTTCAGTAGAACCCTGAATGCTTGAAATGAAACCATAATATGGTGAGTTAAAGTCATATTAGGTGCAATAGGTGCTGATCCTTCTTGTATCGACATAAACAGCTTCAATATATTATACTGATGGTGTCTGCTGTGAACTAGCCAATGCCAGAAACGTCTATTTCAATGGAAGCAGACCATAAAATGCAATAGATGAAAATGAGCCAATGTAAACTTCTTTTCTTTTGTTGTATTATTATACAAGGATAAACTTAAGATACCCTTTGTTGTAAGACAGTTTATCAAATGGGTTTTTTGTGTTTTGTGTGTGGGTTTGGTTTTTTTTCCTCCAAATCTTAGGACTTGGTAGCTTTGCTCTCGCCACATTCTATTTATCTTTCCCAGTATCTGGTATATAATATATTTATTGGTATACACACACACACACACACACACACAGACGCACACACACACATACACTCACACACACACTCACACACACACACACACACACAGACACACAGACACACACACACACAGACGCACACGCACACACACACAGACACACACATACACAGACGCACACACACACACACATACACTCTCACACACACACACACACACACACACACACACACACACACACACACACACACACCCTAGACGTACATCATATACCGCACATTTTAACCTGCTTTGTTCTTGTCATCGTAATTAGACACGGGTGTATGTATCGATTCACTATATTGCCATGGTGTTGTCATCTTTAGGAGACAAAGTAAGCATGACATGAGCCTGAACTGGACAACTCCTTGGTAAAGCCTTGACTTTATTATAACAAGTCTTGGACCTGGGAAATACGTGTAGAATAACAAAACTTACCTGTGCAGTAGTTGTGTGCTTTGGGGATGGCCTGGCCGTCAGCCTTTTTTGTGCTGTGATATACATATTATATGTCACACCTCACCCTTTTTATTTCACCCTCATTTTTCGTATAGGTCGCTGTTGTTGTTCTTAAATCCATCTGTAGGCTGGGAAAGGGGGTGTGAGGTGCTCTTCTTTCATATGCCGTCCTTACCTTGAAGTCCAGTTCTCTTTTGTTTGGTTGTTTGCCTTTCTTTCCAGTTTTCACTTCATCCTTCTTTTTTTGTTCCCCATTTCAGTTACCGTTCGCTTTACCCAGTCTCTTCTTTCTTTTAATAACCTTCCATTTCACCGTGTCTTCCTTTCTCCCCTAGTTACCATTCCCTCACCATGTTTCTCCTTCACCCTTAGTTACCGTTCCATTTCACCTTGTCTTCCTCAGTGGGTGGTTGGTGGGTGCTCTGGTGTGGTTTGCTGTTTCTTTCCTATCAAACATCTATTGTCCTTATCTTCCCTTCTTCTTTTTATGTTTGTTACTCTCTTGTAACACCTCTAAATCTTCTGGCGCTTATAAGACCTTATGCAGTTGCGAGCGCAGTAAAACCTCTACTAAACCTAAAAAACTTGTCTTCCCCTTACCCTCGGTTACCATTTGCTTACCCAGTCTCTCCTCTACCCTTGATCACCACCCCCTTCACCCTATCTCCACCTTCTCCCTTAGTTACCACCCTGTTTCCCCTTCACCCTCGATTACCCTTTGCTTCCTCTACTCTTGGTTACCATTTGTTCTACCCAGTCTCCCCTTCACCCTTAGATACCATTCCTTTCACCTAGTCTCCCCTTCACCCTTAGATACCATCCCTTTCACCCTGCCTGTCTTCCGTTTACCCTCAGTTACAATTTGTTCTACCCTATTTCCCCTTTACCTCCAGTTACCATTTAATTTTGTTTAACCCGGTCTCCCCTTTACTTTTGATTACCATTCACATCTTCCCATCTTCGTTGTGCTTCTTTGGATGTACTTTACACCACTTGTCTCCCCTTGCCACTGTTACGACTCTTTGCATCCTTTTTCTTCGTCTCGAATGCCCTCAAGGTCTATCTAACTGGTGTTCTTGTCTGTCTGTCTGTCTGTCTGTCTTTTTCCATGCACAAAATGACCGCCATTGTGTCGATGAGCTTCTCACATCTCTTTGCTCAGACCGAGGTGGTGATAAAACTGTTATTCTAATTATGGCCCTTGGCTCAGAATTAAAACTCACTGTTTCTTCCCCACCTCCAATTACCACAACTGAGTCGATATAGTGTCGTAAATCATCTACTCAATCCATCAACCAATACATCCAAGTCGTTTCACTTTTCTTACAGAAAGCCTGTGTGACTTGAGCAGTCACCTTCCGGTGTCTTTGGTGTAATGATTAGGCTCTTTACCCTGCACGCAAACGACATATTATTATGTTCGGTTCTTGCGTGGGGAAGATGTAAAGAGAACTTTAATCTTTCTGGTGGAATAAAGGAGTGTTCCACTCTGTTCAGGCTGGCTTTGCGTACACATTAAAAATTTACTACACGTCATGATTTGTCCTACCTCTTTTAAAAGACCCAGGATAATAATGTGTTATTGCATGGTAATGGATATTTAAATCAAACAGTTTTTGTTCACAGTGGACATTTTCAGGGGATTTTTCATGTCTTATTTTGCCTGTAACAGACCGACCCCCCAACTTCAGTATATTATTATGTATAGGTATATATGGTTTATGTAGGCTTTTTAAAAATTACAGTATTTCTTTTTTTCCAATTTCAGGATTTGTTTATCAGCGTCTGTGGTGTAGTTATATGCGCTTTGCCATCGCACGCGGGTGACCCCAGTTTGATTCCCGTGTGGGAAAAACTTTTATTGAGTATCTCGGTCTTTCTGCTGGGATGTTGTATTCCTCTCTCACCGTTTTGGCCCTGCATGGTAGGCAGGGTTGAATCCCGTCTTTCAAATGATCTAAATTTTGTCGATTGTTGGTGCATGTAATAGTGATAAACCCCAACCATTTATTTTTTGGGGGACGTCTTTATAATTCTGCTTGGATGACCACTTGATAGTTTTCTTGTATGTAGAATGCCAGAGCATGTGCCCAAAGTGATGCACCCTTATTAGTCTAGTGTTTGGAATCGTGTTTTTCGTGAAAGTCCTTTAATTCTTAGCCTGACTACGTTCCGTGCATCCCGTCGGGACGTGCTGAGAACAGGTTTACAATGTTCACATGGTATTCGTCGCATTGAGTCTCCCATTTGAGGTGCTTACATATATTGTGAAGATAGAGGCTGAATGTCTCCTTCGTCTTTAGAGATGTTTAGTTTAGTATTGGGTTTTACGGCGCTGGCAACTGCATAAGGTCATATGAGCGCGCTTCTTTAGAGATAAAAATGTTAACTTTAAATGACTGCGTATAAGACCTAGTTCTGACCGTAGCAGCGTGCGCAGTATTAGTACTGGATGTAATCATCCAAAAGTCCGAAGGTGCCATTTTACTTCTTCTGGTATCAGACAACGGCAAAATGCAGATATATAGTATAGGCGTCTGTGGTGTAGCAGTCAGGCGTTTCGCTATCACACGCAGGAGACCCGAGTTCGATTCCTGAGTGGGGAGAATTTTTTTAAAATCGAGTTTCTGTCTTTCTGTTGAGATGTTGTATCACTCTCAGCCCGCATTGACCCTGAGAGGTCGAAGCCCGCATTGACCCTGAAAGGTCGAAGCCCGCATTGACCCTGAAAGGTCGAAGCCCGCCTCTTAAATGAGCTAATCTGGGTCGAAGTGGGCGCAAAAACACCCTGATTAAAAAGGTGATGCAGATGATCCTTGGTGGACGAATCGCCAGTGGGACGTTCTTGAGTATAGGTTGTTGGGGATTTGGAACGTGGCCCAAAAGTGTGCTGCGTTAGAGATGATAGGAGCATCTTAACATGTATTTTTGATTGATTTTTTTTCAGAAAGAGTTGTTTTAATTTTGACCTTCTAGACGTGCGGTTGTAAATTTGTGTTGTGACAAATGAAACTGCACAGTCCAGGAGCGTGCGCGACAGGGCAAAATACCATGAATACATTAAAGTTTAACTCTCTATGTGCTAAATTCTCAATCTGTCCGTAGTCACTGAGCACGAAATAACTGCATGAGTTTGTGATAATGTGTGTGTTTCTGCTAACTGTCTTGCCACAGAGCCAGCGAGTCCGAGGTGTGAGGGAGGAAGCGGAGGACCACGGCCAGGGGCAGGTAACTCAGCTCTTGACTCCTTGCTCGCCCTTTATGAAGGATTGCTTCCCTTGTCTTGTGGCGATGATGGCATGATCTCATCCGTATTAACGACAGCAGAAGAGCTATTTTTCTCTCCGTCTCCGTCTTTTCTTCCACCTCTACTCCTCTCCTCCCTCCTTCCCCGTGCATCTTGTGTCTTCGATTATGTTCATATTATGTCTTTTAAAATGTATGCAGAGTGTGTAGATGGGTTGTGTGTGTGTGTGTGTGTGTGTGTGTGTGTGTGTGTGTGTGTGTGTGTCCAGTTTACTTCCCGTACATCAATACTTTTTGAACGCTTTACCTAACAACGGCTTCTTGTCGGTTCCAAAGGGGCGAGTCGCCCGCGGGCGAAGCAAACCATCTTTCGAAACGTTTGGTGGCACCCGGAACTTTGAAACTAAAAATTTTTTATAGTGTGGAGAGAATTTTTAAAATTGCCCCCCCTCTTTAAGGGGGGGGGGGGGGGGGGTATTTTCCTCATTTGAGTGACATATGATAGGAAAGTAAAAGGGTGGTGGGAGGTTCCACAATTTATCTGTATGCTTTTTTTTTTTAAATGTGAGCTGTTGAGGGTACCTTTCAACTCCATCCAGTATATATGTCTTGTTGAGAGTGTCTTTGAGGGGCTCTACATTATTTTCAGTCTGCTTATTATGTCTCATTTTTGCTCCCCCCCCAAAAAAAAAAAAAACAACAACAACAAAACAACAACAACCAAAAATACCCCCAAAAACGACAATACAAACAAACTCCTCTTACATAACATCCATTACATTATGGGCCTTTCTTCAGCTTACATTCACTCTTTCTTTGTGCATTATACTCTTTGTTTTTAACAAAAATATCCTTTCTTCGATTTCTACACCTTTTTCTTCTTGTTATAAAACATTTCTAATATTTCCTGCAGATACAGCTGTCCTTTTAAAATCTGAGGTGAAATTGATACATATTTCCACTGTCTTCTGTTTCAGAGGACGTGTGATTTTAGCGGATGTTGAGCGCGAGGTTGTCATGGAGATGGCCAGTGCGGCCACAGCCAGGCACCAGTCCCCTCCCCCGACATCATCGCCAACTGCCACAGAAGACAGTGTTGGGAAGAAAGGAGGTCCCACTAGAATGGACAAGACAATGTTTGAGCCTGTGAAGCCAGAGAAGACTAGCAGTTCAGATCCCTCCGCTTTTGAGATTAAAACAAGGAAAGACCAATGCAGTAGTACGTCAAGTCCAGTCAAAGTGAACAGACAACTGCACAGCGCTGTGTCAGCTCATGACAAAACCAGTTCTTTGACATCGACCAGCTCGGCCGGGATTTCTCATCAGGTCAACGGACATGGGGGTAGAAGCGAGTCATCGTTTAGAATCTTTGGTTTTCCCCGGAAGCAGTGCTCGGAAATTTTCGAATTGAGCCCAGCGAATACAAGAAGACCTGAGTTTGAGATTCCATCTTCACGAGGTCATGGGCAAACTGAACTGAGCAAACAACCATCGGTTCAGCACTTCCAAGTTTCAGTGGGTACTGATGAGTCTCATCTTTCTCAAGTGTCCCCTTCCAACTCTCATGCTCAGGAGCGACTCTCGCCGTCATCCCTGTCCTCCTCACCACCTCAACAACTGTGCCCTGTGACTCAGGCTCAGTCCTTGTCAACTTCTTTCCCATCACAGCAGACATCGCACACACCACAGCCTCAGGACCTCTCCACCAGCCGAGAGAAATCCTCTATGGTTTTTACAAACCCAGCCAATTGTTCCAAAAAAATAAGTTCTTCTTCAAAGCAAAATGAAAAGGAATTGAGAAATTCAAAATTGAATGAGAAAAAGTCTTTGAAACGGGAGGTCGGTCCAAAAGAATTGAGTCAAAGTTTAGAAAAAACAGATAAAAGGCATGAACAGCAGGGAAGCAAACCTGTACACTGTCAGAAATGTTTGGGGAAATCTAGAAAAACAGCAGCTACTGTCTCATCTGTAGTGGGCGGTTGTGAGACGGCAACCCAAGTCCCTGGTGTCAGTAAGACCCAGAAACTGTCACCTCCTCACCCCAATGTCAGTGTTGTAAAGTCAGAGGTCACAGGAGCAGCACAAAATGACGACAAAATATCGGCCACTCCTTACAAGATGGGCCATAGCACAAGCGGCAGAGGTTATTCCTATAAGGACAGACCTAATATTGCCATGTGTGAGAGAGTTAAAAGTTTACCGTACGTAGATGATCCTGTTGATTTCTGCTTTTCAGATTGCTTGAAGCCGTGCGCAGACGCAATTTTACTGTATGAGACAAGCCAGAACAAAAGAATGACAAGTTCTTATCCGTTATGTAGTGAAAAGCAGGCCAAGATTGCAGGCTCTGTTCGAGGGAACAAATCTCATGTTGCTGATAGAAGTTTTGAGAGACCTTTGATATGTTCTAATGGTGTGAAAGAGGAGCAAGTAGATCAGGGTATAACTGCGCAAAGAGATCTGCTAAATTCACACATTCAAAATAAAGCACCATGCCAGAAAGACTTATCTCAGGTTTTATCACCTTCTTTGTCCAGTGCTGAAGTAACTACAAATCAGGCCACTGCTGTTGGTGAGCCTTTGAGCCAGCCCTGTGTCAGTGAGGGACTTTTGTTTGATCCCTCCCCAATTCACCCTAAGGTGCACCCCAAACCAGGACAAGACTCATCTACTCCAAACCCCAGCCCCAGCTCAGCCGTATCAGAAACGGTTGTAATGAGTGGACCCAGAGACCAGCTTGCAAAAACTTCCTTCACTTCTTTCAGCTCCAATTCTTCAGTGACAAGTTCAGACTCGAACAATGAACGCGTGGTCTGTCGAGGAGTTGGAGGCAGGGCTTGTCCGGTGGTGCGTCATCATGACACAAACCTGGACAACAGCTCCTGCCTGGCCAAGTCTTATGACAAAACTGCTCTTTTACCTGATGTGCCCAGTGATGGAGACTCTCCACCTCGCTTGCCACCAGAAGATAAAGATTATTTTCAACACAAATATCGACTTTACTTTGATGAAGATGAACGCTTGGAAGCTCGATCCAATACCACCGCAAAACCACTGCAGACTGTTGTTACCTCCACATCACAAGAGTTAACAGATAACCTCCAGCAGCATCTCACAACACACAAACACAAATTGCCAAAGAAAAAAAGCCACGGACAAAACGCCTTGACTCCGTCACCCTCTGGAGCTGGTAACTTCAAAACATCACCCACTAGTTTATGCAGTACACAGAATGGGAGCAGAAATCAGGAAACTAGTTTGTGCCCTGTGACCCCCATGACCTCTATGGCCTCTCATGAGTCGTCTTGTACTGGACTTGGTATTCCGAAGAGAACAACAATATCCGACCACAAGGCAGTGAATGTTGCAGACAGATTAGAGAATACTTCCCCTGACACGCTTCTTGTTAATGGAACCAGTTCAGCAGCATCCTCTGTGTCTGAAGAATCATGTCAAACAGTTGTTTACGTACCTCCTTCTACTGGCAGGTTATGTACAAGAGAACTTAGTCTCTCTTCATCAGGTGAAAACATGCTATCAGAGAACAAAAACTCTCACACAAAGTCAGTTATGATTTCTGCAGAGAAAAATCCTAGTGTTGCAGAAACTGGGCCAAGTCCATCTCTCCCAAATGGTTTGCCGAAGTGTTACATCGTAGATGATTTTAGTAACAATGCTGTTGGTCATGTACAATTAGCACATAGCATGAAGCCCTCATCCCAGCCTCCAGTCGGAAACCAACATCGTCTCAGGCAAAGTCCTCCCAATGATCTTACAGGCCAGATTCCCCACACAAGACCTGAATCCTATCCCAGTGGGAAGACCTTAAAGATTCCATTTCCGGAGAATTCTGGAGTCCATCAGCACACCAACTCTCATCGGAACTTTTTTTCCGTTCTCCCTTACAATGATTACGTTGTCTCAAAGCCTAAGACATCTTCTCCTTCATCAACACAGAATAGTCTACTTGGAAACCACACGGAATCTGCAGAGAATAATTTAGATTTATCAAATACCTCTTCTAAGCAATACTACTATGCAGGAGGCCCGACAGGCAGTAACAGGCAAGGAGAGTGGATGTTGAATGGGGACATTCCTACTCTCTCTGCTGCTACTAAACCCTCCAGTGGCCATAGGAGGATGCCTATTATGATGAGTGGCATCGCCCACAGCAGCATGAATGCAGCGGAACCTGCTGGCCACAGCAAGCGTCACTCACACTCACACTCGCACTCACACTCACACAACTACGCTAGACGCAGCTTTGATTCTCATGACTTCTTCGCAGCCCATTCTCTCGGGCCCAAGAGTCTGTTCTTCTGTGACTCCCTGGCCCAGAATTCCTCCTCATCCACGCCCTCACCCCCTGAGAGCTTCACCTCCTTCACTCTGAGTCATCACCTCAACTCACATCGACAGTCCAAACAACCGCCCTCCGAGGGGATCAGACATGGCTCCTCAGCTCGCGCCGAGCTCAGCACCGTCAAGGTCAAGGATGAGAAAAAAAGTCGATCGGGGAAGTCGTCGGGAACAAGAGAAAATTCTCAGAGAAATTCTCGCCATGATGGCTCACACCGTGAGACTGGAGGGTCTGGCAGGAACAAGGGGGACAATCGAGTTCCTTTGATTAACCTTCAAGCGGGACCAGATTTACTGCCCATGAATGAAAATGTCCATTCGGAGGGAACATTCTCTGACAGACATCAGAACTCCGCTCCACCAAAGAAGTCTCAGTCTCTGTTCTCAAAGCTGGCACATTCTCCATTAGCTTTCTTCTCAAGAGACTCCAAATCTTCTGACCAGCCAAAATAGTTTTTCTCTTTTTTTCTGTAAAGCAGTCTCTCAAAGCTGTTTGTAATCTCATTCTTTTAAAATGATAATGACTTTTCAAACCCTCTTTTACTTGCAATGATCCTTATTTCTAATAAGTAAAAACTGTTGATTTTTTTTTCTGAATAGGGTTTTGAACCCTCTGCAAATGTCTCTCATCGTGCATTATCTCTCTTTTAAATGTATTTCTACTGCTTTATGTGCCAAAATTTTGCACAAAAAAAATGACTGCCTGTCAAAACCAGCCAAAATAGTTTCGGATCAAGAACTGTCTGGTGCTACTAGAACCAATCAGATCGTTAAAAGTGTACAGCTTAGGTGTTGTTTTTCTATGGTTTCTTTGGCAGTTGGGGTACTGTTGATGGTCAAATTGCTGTGTTTATATATATATTTACAAACACATTTCAACACATCATGTACTCTGTAGTTGTGCCCATACACAGACCTGGCCATGCCATAGATATAGGTTGTTCACAGACACAGACACATTCACTGTTTCTTATTGTCTTTCTTTCTTTCTTTCTTTCTTTCCCTTTCTTTCTCTCTCTCTCTCTCTCTCTCTCTCTCTCTCTCTCTCTCTCTCTCTCTCTCATACCCCCCCTTTCCTGCCCCACACACTTACACACACTAACACACTCAGATTTTATCTGTATACTGCATACTAAAACTGCATCATCAAGACTTTTTTTCCCCCCTGCAATTTGAATGAGAATCCCTGTCTTTGATTTGTCTTGTTGAATGCTGGTCTGACAGACACAGCCAAGTACTGCACACACTGAATACTTGACTCCTTGGTCCTCCCTGTCAGACGTTGAAGGATGCCTTGCCTTAAGTATGAAAGTATGACTGTTATGCCCTTTTGCCCTTGTGCCCTGAAATTTGAAGAGCAGCATGATGAGGCTGTAACATATTATGTAAATCTGGTCTTTGGTGCGGTCTCTGCCATGTCTGCTGGGGGGAGAGAGGATGGAGAATTTGTGTTTTGGAGGGGGGGATGGGGGTGGGGAGTGTCCTTCTAGTGTGATCTGCTTCATGTAGTCTACTTCATGTCAATGATACTGTTGTCCTGATCTGTTCCCGCTATAAGCGACGGCTCTACCTTGTGTACTGTATAAATGGTGTAGATATTTTATTTTTATTCTGTCTCTTGTCCGTGTTCTATAGGTCCTAATGTTATTATGTCCACCGTGTGATAATGACAAAAGTCTCTAAGATCCCTGTATATTTGTATTCTGGTTTTACACATGTGTAGAATTTTAGCCAGTTATCTGAAAGACTTATTTGACGCTTCCTCAAGTACATTTTTAATTCAATGCCTGGAAGAAATTTATCAACTTTATTAATGGTCACTAGTTGACATACATGATGTATGTGCAAGTATTGCAAGGAACAAATTATATCTTTTTTCTTTTGCATGTCTTTTCATCTCTGCAATCCGTCCCATTTCTTATTACATTGATATGTTTGAGAGTGTTACAGTCTTCAAGTGTCCAGCATAATAAGATGTATAATATTTTACTTATGAATACTTTGTAACAATGTACACATTGGAACTGACAGGTCCACATTTTGCTGGTGTTAAAAGCAGCTGAATAATCTTGAATGTGATCAGTGGAGAAATTCTGACACAGTTGAATTGAATGTATCACCCCAGCCACCACCCTTCCCATCAAGTGCTATTGTTTGAAATGTGTGTGAACAGAGGGAATCGTAATGATAATAACTTGCTTTGTATTAGTGGTTTACCGTGTCAGATGTGAGTTGAATTGTAGGATTTACAGACAGGGATTTGTCTATCCGTACATCATTTCAAAAAATGTCTTTGTCGGGATAAGGGAACGGGGGAGTCGGGGTGTGACATGGTTTTTTGTTGTTTTTTGTTCCAAGCTTCTAACAAAACTTGTTAATCATGGTGCTATATATTCATAGCACAACTTGAATCTATATTTTGCCATGACTGTTTTCTTGACAGAGTTTGACTCTTTCTGGAATAAACTTCAAGAAATAAAACTAAATGTATGCATTTGTACATCAGTTGATTTCTTTTATGTGGCAGCTTGTGAATTTTCGTCCTTTCGCCCAATCTTCATCAGAAGCTCGTCATGTTTTAGTGATTTGCACACTCTCAATATACAAAATACTATTTTTTATGACTTGAAACATTTTTATTTCTTCATATATATTATAGTACAGTGATAATCAAGATCAAGAGTCAAAAATCTTTGGGACATGTGCCCTTGTTTGAGTGCTTAATTATTTTTTGGTTGTTGCACACTGAAGACTTGAGTTTGATTCTTTATCGAGAATTGTTGCTTATCAAGTATCTAAGTCTTGTCTCCAGGGGTACAGTACACTGCACAGCTGCCAGTAGGCCCTGGCAGGCGGAGTCGAGCAGCCTGCCTCCTAGATGATCTGAAATGTGTTGATGGGGACATTAAACGTTCTCCGTGACATTAATGATAACAGTAATAATAATAATCATAATAGCATTTATATAATTACATTAAAAATCAGTCTTTTGGGACTCCAGTGGCTTGATCTAGTGACTCAAATTGTAGTGTCTTGCCGATGCTATAAATTTTGTAAATTTGAATTGAATCTGGGATGTGATAAATGAGTTGGTTTGATATTGGAAGTGGGTGGCACGTTATCTGCTCTTACTTAACTATAGAAAGGGTGGAACTGGAGACACAGAAATATTTGAGAAATTATTGATTTTTTGTTTTCATTATTACTGTTTCTATTGTTTTTATTATTTATATTGATATTATTAGTATTGTTATTATTTTTGTTATTACTCTTTTTCTTTATCTTTATTATTGTTTTTGCTTTTTTTCTTACTCATATAATATTACCATTATGTGTATTCTTCTTCTTCTTCTTCTTCTTCTTCTTCTTCTTCTTCTTCTTCTTCTTCTTCTGCTTCTTCTTCTTCTTCTTCTGCTTCTTCTTCTTCTTCTTTTTATCAGTATGATTACTATTATGATCTTTATTATTGTTTTTGTTGCTGTTGTTGTTGTTATTATCTTTCTTTTATAATAATTTTTAACAACAGTAATCAACGTTTATGTTTGTCTGGGAGCATTTATGAATTGGACCATAACAGCATGCATGTGAACATCAATAATCTTTACAATGTATTTTATTGAGACGTTTGTCTTGGTACTTTGGTGTACATACATCATTAGAATGCTCTTTCTCAATGCAAATAAACATTATGATATATTTATGTCCAAAATTAAACTTGTGCTTCATTTATTTTTTTCAGCTGTTCATATAATGTGCCACATTGCTTGGGGCAAGTGGGTGGTTGGTGGGTGCTGTGGTTTGGTCCTTCTTTCCTATCAAACAACTATCGCCCTTATCTGTCCTCCTCCTTTTTTTTGGGTATTTATTGTTACTCTCTTGTTACAACTCTACTGTTTGGCACTTATGTGATCTTATTCTGTTGCAAGTGTCGTAATACTCTTACTAAAAACTTTTTTAAAAACTTGGGGGGAAAATATATTGTCGTCTGTGTTGTTATTATCATGTCCTTCACCTGGCACTCAAAAGACTCAAGTTCGATTCTCATATGTGGATATTGGTTTTATGAAGCACATTCATACTGTCTGCTGAGATGCTGTATCCTATTCAGCTTGAATGGGCCCTACTAGGCTGGATGGAAGCAGCCGGCCTCCTGAATGGTCTAAATTGAGTTGAATTAGGGGGGGGGGTGCAATTTATTGACAGTAAGACTCTGACGAACCAGTCTCACATTTTGTACCAAACTTTGTCCTGGACAAGGAATCGAGAGCTGCCTTTTCGCAGTGACGTCAGCTGTGTCTAGTACTGTCTAGTAGGCTTCATATTATA